AAGATCTTTCATCTGCTAAAACAACAATGTCAGGCTGATACTTGGTTGCTAAACTTTACTATAAAGAAATATGCATGACTAATTCAATATTCAGTATTTATTTTAGATTGAAAAGTGGTGAAAACCAAAAAACTGTATTTACAGGCATATCCGAAAATATGGACACGTGAATCATCTCGGTGCCAGCACTTCCAATAATCAACAGAAAGTGGAATAAATAAATGGCAGACAACATCTTTTTCTCCTGCAGGCTCTCTGGGCGCTGTCCTCCTATATTGTTATCTTAATTCAATCTTTATTTGCCTGCCACATCCACAGGAGCACTAAGAGAGCAGCAGTCCATAAAATAATAAGCCCATCAGCACAACACAAATCCACGCACATAAGAGAGCAGACACACACCCACACACACACACACACACACACACACACACATAAATAGACTTTCCCTGTGTTGCAATTCTCCCATTAATCTGTGGTTATTCGCCATATATCTATTTTATATGATGCATCCTTATCAAGCGTATCGCTGTGAAGAAAACTCACATTTTGTAGTGTCAGTTTCACTATACAGAGTATGTGTGTATGCATGCAGCTCATTATCAGCACAGTGCGTTTAATAAGCACAACTCACTTCAACAATACAGAAAACCTTTTTTTCCCACTCCGTGGGTCGTGTTATATGTATCTGCATGTTTCTGAAATGTATGTAGAAGATGATTCCTCCAATTTAAATGTAATGCACAGCATTTTGGTGAATGGGTCAGGGTGCATAAACACAATCTCCTGAGAGAGTTATACACGTATACCCCCCCCACCCCCCCGGCACAGTTAACGTATTGATTTTACAATGTGGTGCCTCGATAAAACTACTTCATGAATTCCAATGAGACTCCCTTTACTAGACTGTTACAAAAGGAGCAAAACACAATCACCGCAACGTAGAATATGTCATTGTGTTCATTGCTTGTGTAATGCATTTCTTTTTGATTTATTTATCACTTAGAGCAATACCTCCTTCCACCTCAGTGTAAAGAGCACATGTCTGCTGCACGCACAAATCAGGCTGTGTCTTGATTTTCGATATTTGTGAGTGTATGTATGCATTTATGTAGAGTACATGATGTGTTTTGTGATTATGGGTGTTAAAATCATTACTTTTGCTTTTTATTTAAAAAAAAAAAAAAACACTAGCCAGTTAAACCTCGGCAGTTACAATTAGCTATTATGTCACATGTCATGCATGCTTTCCTAAACGACCGCTCCAGTGATTATTTCCTTACTGATTAATTTAGGGTTTCTGCTTTTGATGAATATTTTATTCAACAAGACGTCGACAACTAGAAGTAATTGCTCTTCACGTGTTCTCGGAGGTAATGTCAGCCCATTAATTGTTTTGTCCAACTAACAGTCAAAAAGATTAATTTTCCAGCAGCAATATAAGGTAGAGTAGTGATTTCAAAATAAAGGACTGTAACAAGGTGCAAAATCCCTTTTATTAATCATTTTTTCAAGTTTACATAATGTCACAATGTTCACAAGTCACACTAAATGGTCTGTTACCACCATACAGTGATCCTTGCATGCCTAGTAGCCATTTCTATATGATATTTAATATTTTATGAGGTGTAATATTTTACTTAGCAACCTAGATGCAATGGACAGGTGTAATTAAAAGGCTGAATTAAATTTGAGCTCACGAGGTGGACTCAGAAGGAGACCTTTCGCATTAGTTTATCTACTGTAATGAGCTGTTCACGGGTAAACAAGAACTGACACCTCGTCATATGAAATACATGCAGTAAAATACCCTCTGTCACTATGTCTGATGGGTCTGTGGTAAAATATTGACCATAACTAAAAGAGAATGGACTGCTAGGACACAGGCCGAGATGTTGTGTCTGCTGGCTGGCGGTCCTGTCGCCAGGGGACAGAATGGGCGACAGGGCTCCGTTCAGCACCAGCCAGGCCCATCTGCTTGTCACCTGGCCTTGGCACGCAGGAGACTGGGTAATGACAGGGAAAGAATGGCATCAGTGGGCAGAAGCTGAGAGGTAATTACTGACTGGAATCCATGCAGAAACAACACATCTGGATCCATGAGTCAAAATGTGGAGAATTATATAGTAATACCGGCCTCGATTTATGATTTTTATCTGTCAGAACAGTAGAACGGCGTATCAGCTCGGAGACTGAAAATTCTTGACTCCATTGCACTCTCTCTGATCCTGTTGCTCTCTGCTCAGAGGCATAGAGAAAATTCATTTGTACTTCAGGCAGGAAAGGCTGAGAAAGAGAGGAGTGCTGATACACTAAGACAATCTTTGTGGAAGATCAGCCATGGCAGCAGTATAGCTCCAGTGTTGAGTGACGCTATCCTTGCTCATGTGTTACTCTTCCTTACTCTATCACTACGTGCACATTCTTCTTAAACCCCATTACTGCTGATCAATGCTGCCTCTCTCACAGTTAGGGAGAAACGATCTGTTTGAAAGTAATATTTTCTCGCCATATTTCAGGACCAGAACTCGCACGGTTTTCCATTGTGAGATTTTACATTGGTGCAGCTGAAGATGACCTATAATGACTAAGTAATAGAGGTCTGCATTGCATTACAATTAACATTTAGCCCCCTTCAAAATAACTCCAAGACCCATTGAAGGACTATTCTCCTCTATGAGAAATAGACTGACCACAGAAGTTAATGAAATCCTGCAGTAGGTCTGTGGGCATCAGCCGTCACCAAATGACCCTCGGTCAATCTCCAGACGGGGTGTCTCCATCCACGAGCCTGAGGGACTGGAGACGTGGGCCACATTCTGACCGAGTTTCGGTCCTGCATCGATGATCGCTTTCACAAACCCCTTCCGCTCAAAAGAAAGTGGTGGAGTCTCAGCCCCCCTGCCTCTGCCTCAAATTAAGATTTCAGTAATTAAATTGATAAAAGTCATGCATGCCAGCATGCCTCATGGTTCCAGGCCTGATTTCATACGCCACACACTTTTGGAGAGCTGTGGAAGTTCTACCTTTGATGTGGCATTCTTTATTATTGAAAATAATTGGTTTCTCCCTCCTCCTACTTCTCTCTCTCTCTCTCGCGCGCTCTCTCTTTTACGCATGCATACATTTTGCCTATGCTCACTCTGGGCATGCTCAGTTAATCGACCTCACGGGAGGCAGTGCTGGTACATCGCACTGGTTCCATCTGGGGGGTTGCAGAGTAAGGTCCAGATTGTGTCTTTAGGTGGATTAGAACCCAGGGACCGTGATGGGTAGATGTCACTGCAGAATGGGTCAGAGGTCATTATACAGGTTGAAGTGGCGCCTGCCAGTGAACGGGAGCACTGAGACTTGCGGCAAGGCCTACCGAGTCTCCACTGCTCTACCTCCATATCAGCTTGGCCGAGCATAAGAAAAGAGCCTCTCTGGCCCACAGGCAGCTGGCTTCTCTCCACACTCAGTGGAATGGCTGATTATCAGCTGTAAGAGACCCCTGATGATTACGCTGCCGAAGACGGCTACTAACTGCTTGCCTGCTCGCTTCCCAGAATGTCAAACTAGTACTCACATTTGACCCCCCCCAACACCACTCCAACCCCCACCACTTCCCTCGTTCCAGCGCTCCACAGAAAAGCATATAATGTCCATCAATCTCAGCTCTCTTTGCATCAGTGGTAAATGTGAATTTAATTGCCGCTGGAAGAGACTGAGGGGATTTCAGATTTCCTTCTGTATGTCATCCTCTATCAACGCTGGACAGATGTTATGTGCGCGCCTCTTCCAGGATGCAAGTTGTCTGGGCAGCTAGCTCACTGCTGCGTCTGCCTTGTGGGCTTGTGTCGTGGCAGACGCACACATCAGAAAAGCCCTATTTTAGAAGTTGCTTTGCAGATGAAGCACAATGGTCTTAAGCAGCTTGTGCACCCCCCCCCCCCTCTACCCCCAATAAATAAATAAAAATAAAAAACAAAGGGCCTGCCAGAGTAAATAATGTGGTTTGACGCCCAACTGATGAGTCATCAAAGGAACAGAACGTCAGCTATCTTCTTTTACTGACAGCACTTAGCTCAGCACAGGCTCTCCACTGAGCAGGTCAACACTACTCAGGCTGCTCCTTTACAGTAAATATCAAGTGACTAAATATATTGCACGGTAGACTCCATGAGTCACAATAGCATAACAGGATAAATAAGGATGTATTTTCTATGTGACTCCTACAATTATTTGATGAAATAATTATCAATGAAAGCTGCAAGATTACTAGCACTACAAAAAGAAATTGTCTTGGAAATTTTTATGCTGTTGGAATTTAGTGACACAAAGTGTGATTCCATCTAAACTCTACTTGAAATTAAAGACTCCAGCAATCTCAGCACGTCTCCAGCACAGCTTATGGTGACCTGACTGATATCAATTAAAAAAAAAAAAAAAGAACAACAAGAAACTTGCTCATCTTTGTCGAAAGTAAAATAAATATCTGTAGCAGTAAAATAGTATGTCTGAATATCAAAACAACCTAGCCCTTGTAAAAAAAGTAACTCGGCTACTGGTACTAATTAATAATTGAGTCAATCTTCTGGTGATACTGAATACATTTTTATTTTTCACAGGTCTTTTTAAAAGTGCCATCTTAAAAGGGGGTTGTGCAGATCAGTACAGCCCGTTGTACTAAATATGTTATTATACACTTAGTCTGTAAACTAGTAATTACTTTGTCTCACGCAGTAATTATTTAGAGTGGGCATTGTTGTTCAGCAAAGAGGACTATCTGTGTTGAAGTCAGCTCGCAGAAGCTGTAGCCAACACTGAAGTATATAACAACTTATTAACTCTTCTAAGCACATAAGCCTTTTCAGTATTCTGTAGCTTAAGTGGGCTCAGCCGTGGTTGCTCCATATTATGATGGCTCAGCTCATTGTGACTTTGGCTTCTTTTTAAAGTGCAATTTTCAGAGATTACGGGAACAAATTAAAGCCCATTCTTTGTCTCCCTTTGTCCAGGTATATCCAAGGTGCATCATCTCCAAAGGACATGGTCATCATTGTGGATGTGTGAGTGTCTCGCTTCTCTTTTAACCTTTTTTTTTCTTCTGGTATGAGTGTGTGCCTCCTTCAAAGGGTGCTAGTGCCACCTGTTGGTCTGACAAAAGACCAAACATAAAGGAAGATTCATATTCTCCTTTTTTAGCTTTAATTCATTTTATGTTGGTCTTATTCCTAAATATGCATGTCATTTATTGAATACATGTCCAAATATGTCAATTTTGATTTAAAAAGTAGACCCGACCAAAAATAAAAATGAAACGTCTGTCTATAACTTGAGCGTGCAAGTGCTTCGTTGCTTCTTTTCTGCAGGAGTGGAAGTGTCAGCGGACTCACTCTGAAGCTCATGAAGACCTCCGTAGTGGAGATGCTAGACACTTTATCAGATGATGACTATGTGAATGTGGCTAGTGTAAGTGAAAGCTTGCAGACCACATTTGCAGTGAACACAAATACGAATCTCTTCGGAAAACAACATCAACACAAATATTTGTGGCACTCATTAGGCAGGTGGTACTCAAGCAGGGAGTTAGTAAGCTGGTCATTCAGCTCCCAGTTGTTGTGGAAACCATTCTCTTCCCTCATTACATTGTCTGCTTGTCCTCCCTCACTGCTGTCCCTGTAGGATTGTGGCCGTCTGCCTCTTTTACTCTACTTATTACCAAGTTTTCTATTGAGACTAATGTGTAGGGGAACCTTAATGTTATTCTATATTGCAGGGCAGATAACACACAAACACACACACACGCACAGAAACACGTCCTCTTGCTCAGTGTGGTGACTCTGTTTGTCGACTCCCTTCAGTAATCCCTCATAATCCATTGCTCTTAGCCACTGTATTCCTCTAAATCCCAGCTCTAAGAGCAATAAATGAGCATGGTAATCTGGGTGGGAAAGCATCTGATTTTCCCCTTATAAATAAAAAAAAAGTGTGGGCTTAGAAAAACTTGCTCTGAATTCCTTCCAAACCCAAAATGCATTAAAAAAAATACAAATGAACCAAAAGTAGTCATCTGGTTTCACTTGTAAGGGCTTGTGTAATTAGTTATAATAATATATGGTAATGTATTAGCACATGTGACCTGATTAATGTTGTCTTGATCATATGGCGCAGATTCTGCTTTCCCTAACATTTGAAGAAGCAGCAGTGTAATTCTTTCTGTCTTTGTCTGCCAGTTTAAATATGACATGATACCGACCTAATCAAAATGCCATCTTTTCTCTCGTGTAGTAGTTTACATCAATCTGTCCTGAAAACATTAATTGATTCTGAAGCTGACCTTCGAGAAGAAACATCATTTGAAACATGCTATTACAAACATGCTGCTAATAGCGCGCAGAGATGCCACACACACGAGCACGAGCACATGCATATACACAGGTTTAGGCTAATTTGGTAGATGAGATGAGACAGATTATATTACCTTGGCTGGGTTTCTGTTCAGTGTAATGCACTGGCGTTTCAGGTGCACCTGTTCTTGGTGTGGAAAGTTGTAATTAGCAGTGTTTACTGCCAGCCAGGAGCAGGGTAGCTTACATCTGCACACACCCACGTCTGCATCCTGTCTCCATGAACTGTGCACACATGCATACGTTACATAGAAATATGCACTTTTACAACTGTATTTTAAACGGGCAAATCATTCAATTCTTCTTATGTCTCCTTCCAGTTCAATGAAAAGGCCGTTTTTGTAGTTGATTGCTTCAGGACTTTGGTCCAGGCCAACGTTCGTAACAAGAAGATCTTCAAGGAAGCCGTCATGCGTATGCAAGCTAAGGGGACCACAGATTACAAATCTGGCTTCACATTCGCCTTTGAACAGCTTCTCAATGTAAGAGCCAACAAGCCTTTCAGGGAAAGGCGATCCTCGAGTGCCTTGTTTGTCTGTGGCTGACGTTGCTGTCTAATCCAATTAATAAAACAGAATTTACAGTGATAACACAAAGCTGACAGTGAGTGGCTGAGGTTTGCGTAAGACATTTCCAGAGGGCTGTCAGTGTTGAAGGCAAGTCTGATTATAACTGCGGTAGCAATGGAGTGACGCTAGCTTTTTCAGCAGCCAGCACCGTGGCGAGGTCTGTCAGCAGCAGGGATCCACGTGCTCCCGACACAGGTGCTGCCTCAGCTCCGTATGCTGCTGTGTATTTTAGGAGGCTGCCACCCTAATGGGCTCTGATGGGATGATTGATGAGCGCAGCCCAGAGGATATCAGCCACAGACACTTTATATTCCTCTGGTGGGCTCGGAGGCATGGAGCCAAGTGATCTCCCCTCCATACCCCCACCCTCACAACTTCCCTTTTGCCGGCAGAATGAGAAATAAAAAGGCCCCTTTTAATCGCTGTCTGTAGATGACTCACCGCCGTGATTGGAGACAAGAGCACAATAAAAATATGTAATTGTCGCAATATTATTTGTCTTTATTAGAATCTTGTCAGATTGACTTGCTGCTGGTCTGCATATCAATGACAGCTGCAGTGCAGGAGGGTGGCGGGGACTATAATGCCAGTGAAAATGTTTTTGAGACAACCAGATTTAATGCTAGAATAAGGTTGTATACTTGAGATGCAATCCTAAAATTACGCTAATGTGAAGTAGCCTTTGGCTGCCAAGTAAGAAATCTATAAATGTTTCCGTAAAGCATTGAGTGGATTAGAGGAGATTTTTATAAACAGATGAAGGAAAAAAAGAAAAAATAGATAAGAATTAATACATGAAGAGGAAGGGAATAATAGATACGAGTACTGATCTGATTTGATCACATATGGACTCTTACTCAGAACTCTTGGTTTTACAATAATGGGCAGTGGAGCGGGTTGTTTAGCAACTGAAAGGTTAATGGTTCGATTCCCATTTTCTCTAGTGAATATGTTGAAGTGTCCTTTATAGTTTGATTTTGAGAAGGGGAATATTTTAAACAAAACCACAATCTTTTTCAGAACTTAATCAAGTAGCTTTAGTGGTTGAAACTCAACCACAAAATGAGTGAAAATGAAATCAAAGAGTGAAAGAAACACAAACCCCAGCGCCCAGGTCAGATTTACACCCCTGGCAATATACTATCCCATCAGTGTTAAACTGTTTAATAACCATTTACAATGTTTTATAAACCTCATTTCCAGCTTTACAATATCTAGCAGCTTAAATATATGGTTTAAAGACCAATTATTAACCAGTTACTAAGCACTTTGTAATCATTTTGTTGTTAACATAACTAAAGCTAATTAAGTACTTGTAATTATTGCATTGGGATCATACAGTGGATATGTTTTAGTATCTTGTCCCTTTACTGCTGCATTTTTTAGCATGTCTCCCTGCCTTGTTTCCCTTTATCTTCTCATTTTGTTTCTTGTGCCACAGGAGAGCAATGCCCCAAGGGCCAACTGCAATAAGATGATAATGATGTTTACAGATGGCGGGGAGGATCGCGCACAGGATATCTTTGAGAAGTACAACTGGCCCAACAAAACAGTGAGTTTGTCCCTATGAGGATGTTATCTGTTCAGCCCAAGAGATCACGCATCTCCAGAAACTGCCTTTTCTCTCCCTGTTTCCATTGTTTTCTGCTGACATTGTCTGAATATAGCATAAACAGATCTTTTAGCTAGACAGTCAGACATGCCAAGCCCTCCAATCTGTGCACATAAAGCGCTCTCCAAGCTTCTTCACTCCCATTTGTTTTGTTTTTAAAATCTCCTTAGTCTTTCTTCAACTCGCTCCCCTCTCTCGTTCCTTCCCTCTTATTTAGTCTCTTTTGTTGTTTAGCTGCTGGTGTTAACAGCTCTGACCTGCTGACTAATTAGCCACTTTATCATCAGAGCCTATAATATTACAGCCAGTAGATACTCCACTAGTAGCTTGTTGTCACTTCCACCCTTCATTTCCTTGATTTCATAGTTCTACCATTATTCATTACTCTGCGGTTCCTTCACGACGAATGCTGTCATATAGGATTAATCTGCAGGTTCACTTCTGTATCACTGCCGTCTACTGTTGGAGATATTTGTGAGGTCAGTCAGTATAGTTGAAGTTTATGTACATGATGGTGACTTTGTTGCCAGTAAGTAAGTTTGTGGATTATTGTCAGTTACTTTTATACATACATACATACATATATATATATATATATACACACACACATACATACATATATATATAAATTTCCTTGATGTGATTCATCTCTTTTATCTGTTGTTTTCAGGTTCGTGTTTTCACTTTCTCTGTTGGCCAGCATAACTACGATGTCACCCCTTTGCAGTGGATAGCATGCGCCAACAAAGGTAAGTGGAGAAGTTCATACTTGTATGCAAAGTCTGAGAAAAGGGAATGCTTTGTGTCACCCATTAATCACAGTGTAGGCATCTACATACTTGATGTGTGCTTGAAAACATGGAGTGCTGTGATTATACATCCACCACATGCCCTCGAATCAATATAATGCTATTTATTAGAACACTTGTGGACCCTGATGAATGACATTGTCTTAGTCAAGCCATTCTGAGGGGGGAAGTGTAAAAAAAAGCAAGAAAATAGCTAAATTTAGCATGCCTAGTTTATTTTTCAGAACTCCCATGCTGTAATTATTTATACAGATAGGCTGTGTCCATTTTTTTGCAGAGCACAATTCAAAATACAGAATGCCTCTGTAAAGTTATTACTTAAAGTTATATGTGTTAAGTGATCTTTTTTAGAATAATTAGGGTGCTGCCAAAGAGCTAACATGTCTAAACAGAACATCTACAGGGAATGAGACTGTGGGGAAGTCTGAACTTTTCATGTTGTGAGGCGATACTTCTTACTGTTAAACTAAAATTCTGAAAATAAATTTGGTGTATTATGTGTAAAAACCCTTGTATTATAATGAAACTGTCAAAATTGTATTACCTTTCAATTCAGTTTTTTTCTATGAAGTAAACTGGGACATTTTTTTTTAGCTTTTAGTTTAAAATAGAATAGAGAGACAGCATTGAAACTACCAGCATCATCCTAAACCAGCTGTGGTTTAGGAGGTCTGGTTGGTGGTTTGGTCCCTCTAGTCTGCATGTAGAAGTGTTCTTGGAGAAGATATTGAACCCTGATTTTCCCCGATACACCCATCAGATTGTGAGCATGTGAATATTAGGTTTAAAGCACTTAGGCATAGAAAAAGGCACTTGTATGAATGGGTGAATAAGGCTTATAGTAAAAAGGCTTTGAGTGCTCAACTAGAGTGGAAAGTGCTTTACAAGTACCATTGCACCAAAAGTCTGTTTATCTGTGACTTCTGTTACAAAAGTTATTACACATGCTGTTCACAGTTTTTGGATTTCACAAGATTTTAAAAGAAAACTCCACACAGCTTTCTTTCTTTCCCTCTTTTGTCCTGGGATAATGAAATACAAACTGCCTGAAGATGTAAACCCCTGAAAGCTTGTCGGCTGACCTCAGGAGTGCGTTGGTTTACAATTTTCACAACCTTAAATTGGAACAACAACAACAGATTTTTGCAAGAATCTGCTTTGGCAGTCCTCAAACCACTAAGCAAAGGACTTTTCCTTATGAGAGGGCACAAAATTGCGCAATTACGCCTTACAAAAGAAAGCCTGATGAGTAGAAGCAACACATTCTTTATTCAGATGAAGCAAAAAGCCATTTGTCTGGATTTCAGTGTTTGGTGTGGACCTGGCGATGAATGCCAGAGCGACTGCATAGGTCTGACCTTGAAACATGGAGGTGGGAGCATGTTGATATGGGTCTGCAGTAATGCCAGAGGTTTAGAGGAGGTGGTGTTTGCAAAGTGAGCTCACTCAAACGCAGAATAAAGAGTTTGCTCGTAGTGTCAAGAAGCTTGGCAAAAGACACAATCGCACATTTTTTGTTTGTTTTTTTCAAGAAAAGTGAACTATGACTTAGCCAAGTATGTCTTCTGACGTGAATCCAACAGAACATCAACATCTGGAGAACTTAAAGTGCAACCCCTGCAGCAAAGAGGATCTGAAAAGAAACATCTGTGAATAATGGCAGAACGTCTCTTCACAGATTTGTGCCAGACTGATATCATGCAGAAAATATTTAAGCATGGGTGCACTGACTTGTGTTGTTGTTCCTTAATTAGTTAAAAGATGAATTAGTCAAGTAAATATTCAGTTTTTTAAGAATAATTGTTTTAATTAATGAGATTAACGTTATTAATGTTGTCCCAGACCTTCGTCAGTTTGTTATACGTTGTGTATACACAATCACAAAATTTGGCTACTTCACCCATAGTAACAAACCAAGCCTGATATTTTTAGATAGCACCTTAAGGGTCCCTTTCTGACCACCAGTGCTTAACAAATTGATATTGCAGAAAGTCCAAACTTCCACCTTTTACATCAAACTGAGCCAATTTAGGCAAGGATCGTCCTTGCAGAAGGGAGCTGGATCTCTTGCTATAGCCCAGAGATGTAGAGGAGGTGACATTTATAAAAAGGCAGTTTTCAGCTAAATCGGTCGCAGTATCCAATCCCGAGTGCTTCACGGGGTTGTGCACCTTGAACTTTTCCTGCTGGGTCAGACTGTCAACACAGAGTTCTGCTGTAACATCCACTGACGTCTGAGGAAACAAAAACTCAGCTCACAGGAGCTGAAAACCCAGCAGATTGAAAATCTGGAGGGTTTTTTTTTACCAGAACCAGTAGCATCTTGGTAGATTTGACTCCCTCCAAAAACATTGTTTCCCCAGAATTGGAATTAAAGTTAATGCGTCACTGTTTTGATGGGAAATACTTGAAACAATCCAAAAATACTAAGAGCTAAAGCATTGCCCCAGGAGACTATAAGTTCAGTATGACAGTGCAACTTTGTAATCACACGTTGTCACTTTTATTTTTTAGACCCTGTTGATTTAACCTGTTGCCTTGCAGCAGTGATAAAAAGGTGTCCACCAGGACAGTGTGACTTCACGTCCGAACCCAACCACACCCATCGGTGATGCTCACTGTGCTCTGAAATAAAACAGGTTTAAAGCTTTCAGAAAGAGTAAGGTATTAAGACACTGCCTTCCATCTGTTGTTGAGTTGCTTTAAAATAATGTCTTCTGGCATATGATGCTGAGATCAGCAGCCCTGAAATAACCCAGCAAACAGGCAGCTCTGCCTCCGACCCTCAGTCTGACAGCCCACATGACTCAGCTGGTCTTTCTGTGAGCTACTTTGTCTTCATGCATCTCATCTTGACTTAGCTCATTTGTCTCCAGCCTAGTTTGCTGTTGTTGTCGAGCTCACTCTTATGTTTTTAACCCGCTTCTCTTTTGGCCTGTTGTGGTTTGTTTAATTTTGTTGCTCAGTGTTGTGATTTATCTGAAACTGCTCCTTTATGTGGCCTTTAGTTGTGTGCCGATTAGCTTATTGCCAGTGAAGCCAAGTGCTTCAGAAGTATCTCCCCAGAAGTTGTTATTAATTAGCAGGAGGAGTCTGGTAGCAGGATGATTACCATGCCATCTCCCCGTCAGGCTGGGGAAGGTCCAGGATTATGCCTCTGTGCCAACAAGCTCTCCTCTGTTCATGACTGTAGTGATTACCATGCTACTAAAGTCTATGCTGGCATAAGACAATAGTGTTGACACACAGGCCTCAATGGAGCTGTCCTCTCGTATCTTCAGTACTTATTACTCTTTGGTATCTCACTCCAGCAGAGCTAGCTCCCCCTGACACTTCCAGGCCCTAACCCTTCACCCATGACACACACACACACACACACACACACACACATTCGACAAACCACATTAATGCACACCAACAAGCACAAACATGCACAACTAGGGCACTTGAAGATGCTAGCTGTTGCCTCACTTGAGCTGCAATCCCGTTCTAAGAAGAAAGCAACCTCTCTGTGACTCTGAGGACAATGGGACCATTTCGGCATGCTCTCACACAGTGTAACAAAATCCAAAACAGAAAAGAAAGTTATCTCCAAAAAAACAGGTGAAGTCGAGGATACAAACAGCAAACGTCACATGCCGTGTGGGTGATCCTAATACTCCCACAAAAGTGTTGAATTTAATCCAAAGTACAATATTCCACAAATCATAATGCCCACCACCAAGAGAAGTAAAATCAATTGCACCATGAAATTAGCTGCACTGGTTTACTGGGTAAACTTCAGTTTAAATACTTTGTCTCTGTAAAAGTGTTAAGGAAACTGGATGTCATCAGAAAGCTGTTCATTCTGTTCTTCTGAGCAGGAGAAAGCATTACGCGCCACAGTAAAAAACTATCAGGCCCAAAAGAAGTCACCACCTTGATTTAACTAAGAAAACGGGAGGAGAAGACGAGCCTTCCATTGGATAATTACTGCAGTGGTTAATATGTTTGGGCTGGCAACAGTTTGGGTTATTTAACCCGAACTGATGCAGTGAGTAACTTCTCATTACTTAAATATGTCGGAAGGCACATGGGAAAGATGTTACTCCATTTTGGAAGCTTTACATTATCAGCCTGGATGAAGCAAAGAAAACATCTAAGGGCATTACTGAAACTACAAAACTGGGTTAAGAACTGTTCAGTGAATTCTTGAAATCTGGAAAGATACTGTGAACCATCATCCTTGAGGACGGCTGGAAAAATGTCTCGAATGATTGTGATCGCAAACCTACATGACTATAATGAATAACCAGGTTTTTGTCATCAGTGGATTCTTTTTCTTCCCTGATGGATATATTCCAGGAGAACAAAACCAGGATTCATCAGGGTCAAAGTGGGACAGAGACATAATTTCACCCATGGATTGGCCACCAGAGTTCAGACCTCGAGTCCACTGAAAATGTTTAAATGTGCTGGGGAAGACTTTACGCGGTGGTCTGACTCTCCCATCATCAATACAAGAGCTATAGACAGAAATAAATGTTGTGACACTGCATATATTTATCAAAAAGGATCAAAGCTAAAAGTTTTCTAGTGTAATATTAGTGTGGATGTGGGGATTAGTGTGGAAGTTATTTTTAATAGAAAAGCTTGATATGTATTTGGTAATCAGTGTATATGATTTCTTTAGACTCCAGTACTTAAAAAATGTATTAGACCATGACTAAACATAAGTTTTTAAATGTCACAGCTGCCCTAAATTTACATTACTGGTATTTAACAAAATCATTTTTGTATTTTTCTGTGATTGTTAATTCCCCATTATGCACAAGCACATATTAAAATCGAATTATTGTTGAATTATTGTTGTAATACATGATTTTTGAAATTCACCATTTAAAAAAGCATAATAATAATAATATTAAAATAAATGAATAGAAAAGCACACTATTTATTTTTTACTAAGATGCCAAATTACAGTTATTTACTCAGATTCCTGAACAGTGCTTGAGTAATTTCTGACCACTCCAATATACCAGCTCAAATTTGTGTGTAAAACACAAACTCAGTTCAGTGAATTCAGTGTTTATTTCAGTTTATTTCAAGTTTTTGACACATTTCTAAAACATTTACATGTTCTTATTTTTTATGGCAGGGAAATAAATCTATTTGTGTTATCACCAAGCACTGTATTTGTTTAACAGAGACCCAAATTACTTCCTAAATGTGAAGGAGTTTGAGGAAAACTGAATTATAGTTGAAGAAAATAAATGATTGATAAAGCCCGTAACTGAAAATCTTCACTGAACCTGCAGCGCAGAGCGGAGATTTACATTTTGGTCACTGCACACATTTTCCTTTTTTCACCTCTTGTGGTGCTTTGCTCCATAACCACTTCCCTGGCACGCAGTCAGAAGTCACTCGGACAATGGCTGTTATTAACAGGGCAGTAACAAATAGCTGTGCCCTGCGTGTGTGCACATGTGAACCTCAGTCTGAGGGTGCAGAGATGTGTACGGATGAGCACGTGCGCTAATGAATGAGACACAGGAGACAAATTTCAACGCAGACCAAAAAAGCGCATAATATATCAAAATAATGAAAGTTATCTCCACCTTTTAACATTCTGGGGATGCTGCCTCTATTTCGCAGCTCTTTGTATAAACATTCATGGCTTTAATAACTTGGGGAGCAGCGTGGTTATTGACCCAGTCGGGCATTCTCCTCCATTCCTAATCAGCAGAAGCAGAGCCTTGGGCTCAGCATTCCCAATGAGCCACCACATTTACATCCTGCAACGCCGCCATGAGTCTGAAAGGGTCAGTGGCTACAGGCTCCTCCATGCCTGCAGTGCCCAACATCATCAACTGAAGATGGTGTTATTAAGTGTGCCTCATAACATGAAGAGATTAGACTCCAATCTTTAATGGATCACTTTACTGCACACTGTGACTGTTTAATTTTTGAAAATATATGTATGACACGGGCTGCTCCATGAAGCAGACTGGATGCAAGCTCGGCGTGGAATGCATTAATTCTCTCCTCTTAATCTTCAGGTTACTACTTTGAAATTCCATCTATTGGAGCCATCAGAATCAACACTCAGGTAAGATATACAGAGCTGCAATATATATTAGCTGCAAAATGGTGTTGGGAATACTACTTTTAAAATTAAAAGTTAGTAATGGCACCACTTCTACAGGTTGTTGATTCTTCACCATCTTTGACATTAGGAGCACAAAAGATCTTTGTGTAATAATTTGAAGGAATATCATGGAAAATTCCTGGATGTAGTGAATGAAGAGGGTTGGTGCAACAGTAGAAGATGTCAGGAAGAGGGTAAGAAGGAGGCAGATGATCTGCTGTGGTGTCCTCTAAAGGGAGCAAATGAAAGGAGAAGAAAACAGTAATGTGAAAGCCTGTTTCTGATGTTAGAAGAAAAATGCTACTAAAACGTTAACAATGAAAGTCATTCTTATCCTATAATTTGACCACTAGCCTGTGGCTGATCACACGCCTGTTGAGTTTAAGTTGCTTAAAGCATCAGATGTTTATTTGGCAGATAAAAATCTGTGCAAATTCAGAATGTTGCTTAAAAACATCCTACCAGATGAAAGGAACCAATCTAGCTCCTTGTAAGATATCCTACCCTAAAATTTGATTCGTAAATTTGATCAAATGGCTTTTGCTGATCCACCTGTACAGAAGAAGAAGACAATCTGCCACGGCAAACGGATGCAAATGTTTATACATACAGATTTCCAGAAAGATCTTTAGCTTTACTTTAATTTAGATGCATATTTTCTCTCAGAACTTCACCTGATTATTTTGTAGGTTAATTATATAATTCTGCTACTGACTCTCCAAATCCTTTCATGGACTCAAAAGTCCACAAAAGGATATTTTAAATGAAGAACTTAGTTTACTTTTCTGCCATGCTGGCTTTGATGATAATTACACTGTAGCTTTGCTTTCAAGAGTTCCTGAGGAACAGAAGAAAGCACAGCTGGATGGCAATAAATTGGAAGTGACACGAGTTTAGATGTACCGATAACAAATGTGGTCTTTCCACGAGAACATACCTGAACGCTAAGTAAAGTAGAAGGCCTGCAGACGTCCCCTGCCCACCCCATGCACACACACATACACATTTGCTTAAGGCACTTTGGGCTTCGAGAGGCCCTCGGGATAACCTCATTCTAGCTGGAGAAATTGACTCCATTGTTTGGTGGTGGGGGAGCTGCTCCAAACCACTCCTCCCCTATGCTCCGCTTCCCACCCACCCCCAGTCCCGGTGAGTGATCAGGCCCTAGAATAGACTGTCAGCTGTTCCATTAACTCTGGCATATTTATATTCTGAGAACCGCCACTTACTCTAATAGGTTTTCTGAAGGTGGGCGACTACAGCTTTCTGTGCAGGCCCAGAAGACACACTGGGGCCAGATGTTATTTAACCACCGTCTGCCCTTCAGTATCACACACTCATTGCGTAGTCTTGCTTAAATATGATGGTACTATTCAAATAGCAGATGGACTACAGAAGGCAAAAAATTATTATTATACTCACCATCCTGAGTCATACTTTTATGAATGAATAGTTGGAAATACTTTGACTTATATATCCTGGCTTTTTTGTATGGGATCTCAGTGGAGCAACAATAACAGTGCAGGCATTAGTTTGGATGTTTGGCTTCTGTGTGACCAGACTGGGGAGTTCACTGTCTGCATTTGTTGGGAGGCAGGGGGGAGGGGGGGGAGGGGAAAACAAATGGTCAAAATCACAATACTGAAGTAGCTGCATGCTTATACAGGTCACGCCTTTTGTGTTTCAAGGGTAGATGGTGTCAGAGGTCAGACATTTGCGATATCATTTCCCCTTTCGCTGCTGAAATTTGGCGTTATGTGCAAACTGTTAAATTAACATTTAACCCAGATGACCTGCTGGGTTTTTTTGTTTGTTTTTTGCTGATTCCGGTTACACTTAATTATATTGTGGTGATATATGACTTTATGGCTCACTGACTGCTGAGTAGGATACTCAGGAAAAAAGAAGCTATTATTGCAGAAGTATACAGTTAGTTTTAATTATACAACAGCTTTGCCTTCTTCTTCTGGTCTCTGTGAGATTATATTTCTGTCATCCATTTCTTTCCTATGTCATAAGGTCACTTTTTAACAAGTTAAGCATCTCCTAACAGACACAGATCAATCAGTTGTTTTCAAAAAAGACATCCCAGTTTTTGTTTGAGGTGGCCTCAGACGGCAAAAAGAAAATAATGAATATGATGTATTACTAGTAGACTTAACCCCTCACCTCTACTCACAATTGCTGTGGGACGCTATCACATTCCTAGCATTGACAGGAAAGCCTCTGGGAAAATGGCGTGGTTGCACGTCGTGCCATTGACACCCTTAATGTGTTTTTAATAGCTCCTTCATAATGATGAAAAACGGCCTTGAGCGGCTCAGGACTGGAGGCTTTATGGCTCGGCAGGACCGGGACGCGGCTGCTGCTGGTGGCCCGCTGCTTTATGTGGTGATAGAGATGAGGCCGGTCAGGGTCTTGTAGTTTTATGACAGATGAACGTCGGAAGGCTCTTCAAGTTCTCTGCTTTAATGGCAGTACATGACACGCACTATAAATGGCTGTTTGATTATGTGTGAATACTGTAGGCAGTCATACTAGCATTTGTGGTTTTGCTGGTGCAGGAGTACCTGGATGTCCTGGGCCGTCCGATGGTACTCGCCGGGACTAAAGCCAAGCAGGTGCTGTGGACAAACGTCTACCAGGATGCACTGGTAAGCGAGAATTTATAATCATAATGAATTTATAAGCATATCCTGTGCACGTATAGGCTAGGAGTTGATACACTGACAGTACAAAGCAGTGGTGAAGTCATACTATTTTTTTTATTATTTTTTTTTATTTTTTTATTTTTTTGCCTGTCCCATTTGGTTCTTTAGCCGTCAGAATTGTTGTCTGAAGACCAACAAGGATACCCAATGGATTTA